TGACCAAGTGGAAACTACTAAATAGAACACTAAACAAATTTATAGATGAGGACTTCAAAAATATACTTGAAACATATAATCAATAGTATATATCCATTCAAAATTAATAAACATACAACTTCAAACAAAGATCACAATATAAGAAAATTCAGTTTCAATCTCTGGTATGAAGAATTCCCAACCAAGACCAAGTTATATAATAGATACCTGCGTACTTAAAAGAATGACAGATGTAATAAATATATAATAGCAAAAGATACTGCATACATCTTTCTATGTAGCAATAATATAGAAATATTAAAGAAAAACTTCTACAGAATTCTAATTAAACACATATTATTACATATAAAAAAGAAGCACAAGAAAAGATTTAAGAAGACTATTTACATATGGATATAGCTGACCAATCCTAGAACCTTTAACTTACTTATCTGGGAAGTAATACTGAAAGAAATATCTGAGACACTCGATACAATCATATTAAGTAAAAACAAAGTAATAGAAATAATCATAAGCATAATTAGGGAATAGAAAGAGCTACTATATAACATATGGAAGAGAAAATACAAGTCTATAAATAGAAAAACTTACAAGGCATAATCAAACTTAATAAATAGAGAAAGAACAAAGTACAGAAAACTAAGGACTATATAAATCCAATTGTAATATAATATTCTTTCTTATAATTTGGCAAAAATAATAAAACAAGGTTGCACCAATAAAAAAAAATATATATTGGATTAATCTATTTAATAAATTGGTATTTCTTTTTTAGAAGAGATTTAAGCTATTAAAGTTAATATTTCTTTACTTGAAAGTTTTATAATAGTCTTTTATTATACTTTTAATAGTTTAAGAATTAATAACTATATTATTCTACTTATTTTTAATTTTTAATTAATTTTTGATCTAAGCTTATTGAAATTTTTCAATTTTTTTTTTTTTTTAACCGGCGAAGTCTTGCCATTGAGTTTTTATTTATTCATGGATACAGGCTGATTTACACAAATTTAATTGCGGGTCTGTACATTTATGAAAGGAAAAAAACACTATGACTCAGTATTCTATTACTAGAAACCCTGTGACTTGCTGCAGTCCACTGAGGTGGGTGCTAGCGTGTCAAGACTCCACTAGCACTAATATTGATAGAGAAGAAGAAGAAGGGAAAGTGGTTGTTTTTTAGTGTGTTCTCTGTTATTATGTTTGTTAGTTCTATGTATAGTTCATCGAATTTGTTCTTAAGATGTTTTTCCAAGTTTATTGGAACTCGTTCTGGTTTTGAATCTGCTTCGAAGCTTCTGATTGCTTGTGTTGTTGGTGAGTCTGGACTTAGAGGTACGCTCCTTGGTTTGCTTGTTGTGTTTTTAGTATGTCTGACCTGACGTTTGAGTTTTTTGTTGATCCTCTGGCTCTTTTCCCACATTATCATGATGTCGCATCTGAGTTTTCAAGCTTCTCGCTTGGCTTGCCAGAACTTGTACATTGCCTTTTTGATCACTTCGATTGCTTGGAATCTGTCCTTTGTTATAGTTTCTACTGTTTGGATCATTCTATGTGTGATGACTCCCCTGACTATGTCCTCCCAGAATGTTTGATACCTGGCTTATACCTTCCTATTGTGTTCTTGTTTTGTTAATGTCCTTTTCCATTTGGCTTGGATGGGTTCTGTCTGTTTGCCTTGTGCTCTTGCTGTGCATTCTTCCGTGAGAGCCTGGATATATTCTTCCTGTAACTTAGTCAGTGTTGTATCACATTGGAAGATGTGATTGTTTGTTTCTATGTGTTGGTTACAAATTTTACATATGTTGTTAAGGTATATATCTGGGTGTCTTATATTTAAATTTTTCATTGTGGGGAGTTCTCCTAGCCAAGTTTTAATTCTGAAGGAACAGTCCGTGTGGTCTTCTATATTGGTTAATATTGTTGTGATTCTCGTTGGCATTAGTAACTCAAAGGTCAGGGGCCAGTGAATTTCTCCTAATTTGGTTTTGTTCAGCCATTCTTGATTCCTTCATAGTGTTCGCCATTTACTTGCCCATTTGTTTCTGAGGATTTGTTTTGTGAAAGGTTTGATTCTGATATCATATTGTTTTTGATTCCATCTGTTGAATACGGTTGTTGAAGTGAAGTTTTGTTCGTTTATTGTTATGTAGAGTTTGGGTGGATCTGTGACTTGTGTAGCAGCCAGCTGGTCTGCCTTCTCGTTGCCTGGGTTACCTGAGTGACTTTTTATTTTCTCCCAGCTTACCCTGAGTCTTTTGGTTATTATTAATTCTTTGATTGTGTTGCTGAGGATTTGGTTTGGCTGGTTTGCATTGTTCCATTTGTTCCTCTTCTGCTTTGTTGTCTCTTTTGTGCTGTTAATTGCTGACTGGCTGTCTGTGCAGATGGTGATTGTTTTGTTTGTGCTGATGGTGCTGACCGCTGTCAGTATGGCCATTAGCTCTGCTCTTGTGGAGGAGAGAGTGTCTTGTGTTTCCGCTTGGAATTCTGCTACCTGTTCTCCCTCTTTGGTCATTATAATCTAGCCCAGTCCCAATCTACTTCTTTCTGGATGTCTGGTGAATAAGCCGTCTGTATATATTCTTAGGTCATTATGGTTGTAAACTTCCCCTGCTATGTTAGATAAATGGTCAGTGATGCCTGTGTCCCCTATTAGTGTACTATACATTAGGTGTCTCATTTCTGACAGTGGGTCCATGTGGATCTGGGGTATCTGCCTTGGCAGCTCTGGTTCGTTTCCTTTTTCACGCAGTGCTTTCTTGATTCCCTTGAGGGTAGAGCGCAGTCTGTTAGTTCTCTGTTGTTGATCTGTGGGGTGGGTCTATCAAGGGTCAGCTGATTTTGAGCTTTTGTCTACTATTACGTTTACTGTTCTTGCTTTTATTAATTCTGCTATACATTGTTTTTGTTCCTTGTACTGTCCTCTCAGTAGTTGGTTGTTCTTGTTACATCCTTCACATTTGAAGAGGGGGGATCTCCCTGGTAGTGTTGTCATGTGGTTGGCAATAATCTTGTCTGAGTCTGCCATTTTCCTTTTTCTATATATGGCAAATTCATTCTCTGACTTAGTGGCCATCCACTTGATCGTTGATGGTGATTAATGTGGATAGATTGGGGTATTGTTAAGGAAACTGTTGTTTGATCTGTTGGCGGGAGAATCTGCGACGTTGGTGTATGAGTTTTGGTTAGGGTTTTTGCAAATTATTTTCCGTAGGTCCTGAAACTATTCAAGAGTTCTACCCTGCCTGCCTTTTCTGATTCTGAGCTGTTGCCATGTCAAGAATCTTGAAAGGTCGTCGTTCATGAGCTGTTTCTTGAAAAGGATTCCTCTTTTCCTGAGATGCTGTTGGTTTTTATCATACCAAGTGTTGGGTGTGATGTCTTTGATGGCTATTTTCCCTCCATATGGAACTGTACAGATATTTATGTGGTTTGTCGTCTTGAATGTGATGCCTTGTACCTTGAGCATGTTCAGGATGTCATTCATGAGATTCTGTCATTTCTTGATCCAGAAGGGATATTTGTCTTCTAGTATTGATGTGTTTGATCAGTATTGGTTTTGGAGTTGTTGTAGTCTGATCCATGCTGTTTTACTGCACGTATCTGAGTCGGTGATTCTTTTCATCCAATTGTTTGCGTGAAGCATTACCTGCTTGTCCCACATGTTGAAGAGCCTATATCCGAAGTCCGCGTGGATAATGGCGTTGGGGGTGGTCCTTGGCATATTGATTTTGTGTTTAAAGGTTTGAACTATTTTGCTGTTGAGCTGATCACGTTCTTGTTCCGATAGGGCCATGTCGTTGAGGAGATATTCTATTGCTGAGTAAAGAACCTGATTGATGATGTAATGTACTTGTTTGTCTGTGATTCTTTTCCATTTAATAAGGTTTGTTATGTTGGTGATTTTCTCTCGTATCAGGCATTTCTGTTGTTGCTTCTTGCCATCTTCTGAGATCCAGACTTCAAGGATGCATGTTGACTCATCTTTTTCAAGGGGCGTGACCTTGGTTCCTACTAGGAGAACGCCTTTTGCACGGTCTTTTTCATTTGCATTGATGCAGATGAGTGAAGATTTGTCTCCGTTTGCTTGTATATCATTGATCTTGAGGAACTCTGATGCTGCATCCAGGATAGCTTGCATGTTGGATCTATTTGGGGCATACCAGATGGTGTCATCCATGTATGCTGCTGCTGTCACTATCTGTGATCTGGTGAGTTGCGTGGCCCTGATAGTGTTGGTCGTTGTGAGATTGGTGTTCCACGTTGTCTTTATTATATATCCTAGCTTTTGATCTTCTATTTCTTGGATCAAGAGGTCGTAGAAGATTCTCCACATTAAGGGTGAAATTGTATCTTCTTGATCTATCCCGTCTTGGACTTGGTATTCTTCTGTCATCCCATGTGCTATAATTACCCTGTTGAACCTCTCTGTTAAGGTATCCTGTAAGATGTTAATGATTTTTTCCAGGATTTTGATGCGTTTGAGTGCCAGTATTATCATGTCTTGATTGATTGAGTCGTACGTTTTGCTAATGTCTTGGCTGAAGATCCAGGCCTCTTTTCCTTTTTCTCTGACTTTCTCTAAAAGATTGTTTATTATGTGTATTGGCTGTTGTGTGCTGCCATCTGGAAGCCCTGCCCAGTTGTTGCTTGATGTAATGTAATGTCTATTTAGGGTTTCTGTGATTCTATTGTTGAGTATGGACATGAAGATTTTCCTTGCTGTTTCTAGGAGGGTGATGAAGCATATGATGTTGATGTCTCCCATTCAGTCTTTAGGCTTGGGGATTGGATAAATTTCTCTTCATTTCTAGTCCTTGGGAACTTTCCCTGTTTCGAGGATCTAGTTGTAGATTGTTCCTAGAAGTCGTAGACCTTGGGGTCCTAGGTTTCTTAGTAGTATATAGGATATTTTAGTGGGTCCTGGTGCACTGTGTTTCTTTTTGGCCTGTATTGCCTATCTAATTTCCTGGAGGTCTATCGTGGCTGAGCATTAACTATATCATTCTGGGTCGATGAGTTCTATTGAGGCATATCTGTTTATCCATATTGAGTAGCTCCATATATCTGGCTTTGGGTCCACTTCTCAAAGTGGTCCCTGATTTTTGTTTTGATTTCCTTCGGGTCTGTGATTATTGTGGTCTCGTTTGTTATAGTGTGTTCGATTAGTCTACTTGTGTCTATCTTCCTGTGGGGTCTGTTCAGGATACTGTCTATCATTCTCCTTGGCTGGTCTTGTAGATACTTAAATCATTTTTCTGTGAACTTGTTGATTATTCTTCTTTTCTCCCTTCTAATCTCTTGTTGTGCGATCTTACTTTCTATTTTCTAGAGATCTTGCAATTCTTTCAGCCACTGGTATTGTTGGAGGGGGCTGACGTGATAGTTGTGTTGGTTGGGAGGGAAGCTGCTGATTCTTGGTCCATTTTAATTGATGACTTTAACCATTTCTGTTAGCTTCCCTTCCATCTCGGTGTCCGGTGTGTTGCTGTTTAGGTATCTTTTGTATATTCTGTGGTTCTTCCCTATTAAGTTTGACTGTCTCATTATGTCTTGGTATCTCGATATATGGATTGTCTCAATGTTACTGCTTTTCCTTCTTTTCTTCAGATGTTTCCTGCTGGCTTCCAATAGTATGTTTTTAAATTGGTTCCAGTTTCCTTCCAGTGGGATGGGCTGGTGTGACATGATTGATATGGCCTTGTTTTCTACCATTTCTTTGAATTCCTGCCATTGTTTGTTTGATGAGTTCTCGTAGTCTATATGTTTGAGGTTGTTGTTCTTTCTGTTTGCTAGTTTGTTCCAGAATTTGTGTGAAGTACTGATCGTGATTGTGATCATCTTGTGGTCCGTGTCTATCGTTGTAGTTAATGGGATGTGGGATGCTTCTGTGACGTGTTGTACCAGTGGTCTTGACACCCAAATGTAATCTAGTCTACTTCCGTATTCCGTTTTGCTTCTGCTATATGTGTAGCTCGTCGTGTGTAGGTACAGGTGTCTGTATGTGTCAACCAGGTCGTGGGAGATAAGTGTGTTGATTAGCCCTTTTGGAGTCGATCTTGGTTTTTTTTTGTTCGTGAATCTGTCTAGCTTGTCATTATTGATTTCATTGAGGTCCCCTAGTACCATGATGAAGAAGTTTTTTGCCGTCGCTTCCTGGATGATTTATTCTAACCACCTCGTTAAGTTATGTTTTTGACTTGTTTGTGTGTTGCTGGTGAGACTTTATATTGTGATTATTCTGTATTTGATTTTGGCCTGGAATGCCATATCGATATATAGGCCCCTGTCTTGCCACGAGTCTGATTTGAAAATGTGTGTTGCTCATTCTTTTTTTATAATAATTCCTACTCCTGTACCAGTTTTATGTTTGGTGTCCTTGGTTGTCCAGATCGAGTATTCCTTCTCTGCTCTTGTCCAGTTATGGTTGTGTGGTAGCCAAGTCTCTGTGATTCCTATTATATCAAATAGTTCTTCTTTTGCAAATGTTGTGAGTGCGATTTGCTTATTTTCTTCGTTAATACCTCTGACGTTGATTGTACCAATTTTCTATTTATTTGCTGTGTTGTTGTTTGTGTTTGGTGTGTTGGGGAGATTAAGCGAATGGGGAAGGTGTATGGGTAGTGTGTTGAAGTTGTTATTTATATCTGTTCCTATCCTCTTGGGATGTTTTCCTGTTTTTCCCTCTGTCATATTATTGAGATGCATTGGGGGCTGGGGCACTGTCCTGTTGCGTGAGTTTGAACAAGCTGATGGCTTTCTTCATAATGAAGCTCATTTTGTTGAGTTGTTTTTGATACACCTCTTGCGACACTTTGATGTCCTGAATACTGATTTCTGGGATGCCTACTGGTGTGGGCTTGTTTGTTGCTGGGCCTTCCTCTAATTCTTCCATGAGTTCATCTATGCTCTCTGGGTATCTGTTGGTGTATTCTTGTTCTAGCGAGTCGACTCTTTCATCTAGATCTTGGAGGGATTTCTTGACTTCTTGGAGTTTGTGTTGAAGTGAGAGGAGTAATGCATATAGGTCTCACTCTGCATGGTAGTCTCTTGTGTTTCCTCCGAACTTGACAATGTTGGCATAGCTTCTGGGTTTGTTAGTATGGCTTGAGCCTTGTTGTCTTCGGTTCGTAGGGGATGTGGTATTGATCCTTGGGGGAGATCTTGGGTTATTGGAGCAGTTGGTGTATTGCCTTAGTGGTGCAGTTTCTGATTTTTCTGGGCAAGAGTGCTGGTTGTGTTCTGGAGAACTGCATGTGGAACATAGTTTGGTTTTTCGGTCAACCCACTGTGTCTGAACTTCACCGATTAAGGGTGCAGTTGACTTAGCTGCTTGAAGTTCTTCCTGTGTTTCGAAGGTAAAAATGGCTAGTCTTTTTGCCTGATTGTTGTTGTCCCAAGGGATATAACATGATTTTGCTTTCGTGCTAGTGATTATTACCACTAGGTCTGAGGCTGTAGCATTTTTGGGGAGTTTAGCAAGAGTTGCGCTAAATTTTTTTCTTTCTTGTTTGACTTTGTGTGTTCTGTAGAAGAGAAAGATCCTGCAGGAGTGGAATCTGCATCCTATGCTCCATTCTCAGCTAATTTCCATGTAGTCTGATGTGTTCGTGAATGTAATGTTGGTCGACTGGAAGGGACCTGCTCTTTGGATGGTGATGTAGTCGATACCAATTTGGTTGTCAAAGAAGTCTGCTAGATCAGTTTTAGTGAAGTGTTGGGGGATGTTCCATACTCTGATGGTGTGGAACTTGCTATCGTGTGAGTCTAGATATGCGATCCTTCTGAATTTGGTAGCTTCATTGTCTGTAATGGTGATCTCACATGCCTTGTCCAGGTCCTCCTGATTAGTCATAATGATTGCTATTTTGGGATAACTGATTGGGGCTTCATATTGTATGTGTTTCAGGGATTGGAGATGTTCCATTTTTTGTCTGATGAATTCGATTTTCTCTGCCAGTGTTTGTTCCGGTATCAACTCTGGGTCCAAAACAGCTTTGCCTGGTGTGAGTGAGGCCTGGTGTTCTTGCGCTTCCCTTGGGTCCTTCCTTTCAGTCTGTCTGTCTTGATCATAGCTATATTTTGCTTGACTGGTTATATTGGGCTGGTGATCTAAAGTCTGTTGTTCTGTTATGGTTTGGCTTTCTGATTCACAAATTGTGGTGGGGGATGGTGACCTGTCTGTCTGGGGTGTTGTTGCTGAGAGAATTGTCTGGCTTGTGTTTTCTGTTTCCATCTCTACCTCGTTGACTACTGGGGGCTCACTTGTTTTACCTGGTTCTGTTACTTGGATTGTTTCTTTTCCTTTCTCGAGCATCTTCTTTGTGATTGCTATTCTGGTTTCAAGAGGGGTGTGCCTGAGCTGCGCTACTAGAGTTGTCATTTTGGGTTTAAGAATTCTACCGTTGTTTTTGCTGATTTTATCGATGTTGTATTCTGGTGTTGTTTGTTTTTTTTTACTTCTGAGTTGCCTGGTGGTGGCCATCTTTGCTTGTGTGCTACTATGTAGCTAGGACAAGTTTGTTTAGTTTTTGCCTTATAAGGAAATTTTTTCTGATTTTGAGATTTTTGGAAAGAGTTTTTTTGAAAAAATTTTTCAAATTTAAAACCAAACTTATTATTTATTTTTATTATAAAGATTTTTTTTTTTACATATTATTATGGAGATATAATAAACTTAGTATTTGTTTTTTTTTGACTGGCTCAGCCTTGTTTTATTATTTTTTCAAATTACACTTGTATAGGATCTATGCTATACAGAAATGTATATTCAGTAATAGTAAACCTCGATAAGCTATGTGCTATCTCGCGGCCTGTTGCCCTTCTTTTTGGGGGAAGAAACTAACATGCCAAGGCCATGCTAGTTGTCGTGTAGAAAGATAGAATAGAGAAGATGTTAGTTTGATTTTTTATGTACTCATTAATATATCTGTTTACTATCCCGATTAGGTTTAGAAGGAATTGTTGTATTGTGATTGGATTTGTGTGATTTGTAGTTTTTTGTGTCTTGCTTGTTTTGTGTCTGTGACACTTGATAGGTCCTTGAGGATTCTTTGGATCATGAATTTCTTCATATCTGTTTGTCTATATATCATATAAAAGTTCCTTCCATTCTCTCATCGTATTCATGACTATTTCTGTCATTCTGCTATTATTGGATATAATTAAATTAAGTGCCTCTGGTATTTCTTTTAGTACCGCACCTCAGATGAGAAGTTTGAATATTCTGGATTGGCTAGCTGTATCCGTCTATATATAACCTCCTTGAAGTTCTTTTTGTATTCTTTGTTAATATGTGTTAATGCATGTTTGATGGGGATTCTGTGGAAGTTTCTCCTCAATGTCTCAGTGTTGTTGCTGCATAGAAATTGATGCGTGGTTTCCTCAACTTCACTGCATTTGTGACATTTGGTCTCCTTATAGATTAGTAGATATCTGTTGTGTAGCTTGGTCCTGGTTGGGAGTTTTTCATACCAGAGGTTGAAGCTAAATTTTCTTATGTAGTGATCTCTATGTGAGGTTAAATGTCTTTCATGTTAGATGAATGTATACTGTTGAATGTGTGCTTCCAGTAGATGTTTCTGTAGTCTTCATCGGTGAAGCTGCTTTGTGTTCTGTTCAATAATTTTTATTTGGTTAGCCTGACGGCTTTGTTGACTTGTTTCATCAGTTCTTTACATAGTATATCTATCTATGTAGTATCCTAGACTATGTTTATTGGTATTGATCCTCTATGAGGTTGTTTTATATTGATAATTTTCTGGTTGGGTTTCATGTCTGGGGAGGTGGGATCAATTCTAGCTAGTCTGTTAGCTTGCTCATTGAGAGGAATGCCCGCATGTGCCTTTACTTTGTGGATTGTGATAGTTAGACTTTGTTGTTCCTTAATATAGGTAAAGGTGTCTATTATTGCCTGGTTCAGTTTTTCCCTTATTTTGAGTCTGTTGGTATTCATGGCTTCTGTTAGGTTTGTTATTGCAGCTTGGCTGTCAGTGTACAGTTCAACTGTAGTGTTTTTGCTCAGAGTGCTTATTGCTGTGGTTATAGCCTTCAGTTCTGCCCTTGTGAATGAAATGTGAAGTTGGGTTTAAAATTATAGCACCCAGTATTCCCATGTTGTCCCCAACCATAGTATTGACTGGGTCATCAATGGCTTAACTTTAGAGATCGGACGGGTTCAGGTGCTTTTCACTGTGTATGGCCATAACTAATAAACTTAGTATATAATAAGCTATCCATACTTAAATACTTAAAAAATTATTATTTAATATCAATCCAATAAAGATTTATCAAAGATATAAAATTTCTAACAAAAAATAAATATCTATTTGAGTTTCAGCAATCAATTTTAATAAAATAATAATCTAAAAATATATAAACAAAAAATTAATTTGATTTTTTTAAGTATCTATAATTAGGCTAGATT